AATAACCTTAAATGAAAATGGATTAAATGCTCCAATCAAAAGATATCGAGTAGCTGAATGGATAAGAAAACGACTTATACATAGGCTGACCACAAAGGACTCATTTCAGAACAAAAGACTTATACAGACTGAAAGTGAAGGGCTGGAAAAAAATATTCCAAGTAGATGGACAGGAAACAAAAGCCACGGTAGCAATACTTACATCAGACAAAATAGACTTTAAAACAAGGGCCATAAAAAGAGACCCAAAAGGACACTTCATAATACCCAAGGGAAGAATCTGTCAAGACATAAACATTGTAAATATATATGCACTTAACATAGGAGCACCCAAATATATAAGGAAATTCTTGAAGAACTTCAAGAAAGATGTAGACACTTACACTCGGGGATTTTAACACCCCACTGTTAACAATGAATACATCTTCTGAACAATATATCAACGAGGATATTGCATCATTGAATAATGCCCTAGATCAAATGAACTCAGCTGCTGTATATCGAACCTTTCGTCACAAAGAAGCAAAATACACATTGTTTTCAAAAGCACATGAAACACTTTAAAAAATAGACCACATGATAGGACAAAAAACAGGCCTCAACAGATTCAAGAATATTGATATTGTAATAGGCATTTTCTCAGACCACAAAGGCCTGAAACGAGAAACCAACCTCAAAGAAAAAATTCAAAAACACTCAAATATATGGAGACTGAATAACTTGTTATTTAACTTTGAGTGATAAACAATGAGATGAAGGAAGAAATTAAAAACGTCCTGGAAACAAATGAAAGGGAACACACAACAGTCCAAAATCTATGATACACATCAAAGGCAATGCTGCGAGGCAAGTTCATAGCTACACAGGCCCACCTACAAAAAATAGAAACATTTCAAATAAACAACTTAACCCTACATCTACAAGAACTGAAGCAACAACAACAAAGCCATCCCAGAGCAAGTAAAAGGAATGAAATAACCAAGATCAGAGCATAATCAAATTACATAGAGACTAAAAGAACGATTCTGAGGATCAGTGAATCCAGGAGCTGGTTCTTGGAAAAGATAAACAAAATTGACAAGCATTTAAGCAGACTCATCAGGGAAAAAAGACAGGACCCAAAGCATCAAAATCAGAAATGAAATAGGAGAGATTACAGCTGCTAGCCCAGAAATACAAAGAATTGTGAGAAATTACTATGAAGAATATGTGACAAGAAAGTTGAAAACCTAGGTGAAATGGACAATTTTCTAGAAAAGTATAATCTTCCAAAACTGAATAAAGAAGAAGCAGAAAGCCTGAATACACTGATAATAGCTGACAAACCCAAAGCAGTAATCAAAAAACTCCTGGAACACAAAAGCCCTGGATCAGATGGTTTCATCTGAGAATTTTAAAAACATTTAAGGAAGAATTAAGTCCTATCCTTCACAGTCTATTCCAAAAAATCCAAGAAAAGGGAAGACTCTCAAACTTTTTTTTTTTTTATGAAGCCAGCATTATCCTAATCCCAAAACCAGATAGACACAACAAAGAAGGAAACCTACAGGTAATACCACTGTTAAACAGAGACACTAAATCCTCAGCAAAATACTGACAAACCACATTCAGCAATACATTAAAAAGATCATATACCATGATGAAGTGCGATTCAGCCCAGGGATGCAAGAATGGTATAATACTCCCAAATCAATAACCGTAATGCACCACATAAACAAAAGGAAAGACAGAAATCACATCAATAGATGCAGAAAAAACTTTTGATAAGGTGCAGTGCCTTTTTAAAATAAAAACACTCAGCAAAGTGGGAATAGAGGGAGCATACCTCAAAATAATAAACGCCATATATGAGAGACATACAGCCAACATCATGCTCCACAGGCAAAAACTAAAAGCTTTCCCACAGAGATCAGGAACAAGACAAATATGTTCGCTTTCACCACTTCTATTCAACATAGTATTGGAATTCCTAGTCATAGTGATCAAACAAGAAAAAGGAAAAAAAGCTATCCAAATTGCAAAGGAGGAAGGAAAACTGTCATTATTTGCAGATTACATGATATTGTACACAGAAAATGCTATAGATTTTACAAAAAACTACTCAACCTAATAAGTGAATTTGGAAAAACAGTAGGATGCAAAGTGAATATTGAGCAATCAAAGGCTTTTTTGTACACCAACAATGAAATATCAGAAACAAAAGTTAGGAAAAAAATCCCATTTGATATAACAACAAGAAACACCTAAGGAATACCTAGGAATAAAACCTAACAAAGGAGGTAAAAGTCCTGTACTTAGAAAACTACACAACCCTGAAGAAAGAAATTAAGGAAAACACAAACAAGTGAAAGCATGTACCATGTTCATGGATTGGAAGAATTAACATCATCAAAACATCCACACTACCCAAAGCAATTTATAGATTCAACATGATCCCTTTTAAAATACCAATGACATGTTTCACAGATATAAAACGAACATTTTAAAAATTTTGGGAATCAACCCCAAATAGCTGCAGCATTTGAGAGGAAGAATAAAGTAGGAGTGAACACAATACCTGATATCAAACTTTATTACAAGGCCATTGTAATGAACACAGCCTGGTACTGACAGGAGAATAGACACTTAGATTAATGGAACGGATTAGAGAGCTCAGAAATAAACCAATGTCCCTATGGTCAATTAGCATTTGACCAAAGAGGTAAAAGCATAAAATGTAGTAAAAATTGCATCTTCACATCTTCGACAAATGGTGTTTGGTGATCTGGACAGCTACATGCAAAAAAATGAAAGTTGACCACCAACTTACACCATACACAAAAGTATATTCAAAGTGGATAAAAGACTTAAATATAAGTTTTGATACCATAAATGTCCTAGAGGAAAATATAGGTAGGAAGGTCTCAGATATTCCATGCAGCGATAGTTTCACCAATATGTCCCCTAGAGCAAAGAGTATAAAGAAATGAATAAACAAGTGGGATTTCATTTAAATTAAAAGCTCCTCATGGCTAAAGAAGACATCAGCAGAATGAAAAGGGAACCAACTATATGGGAAAACATATTTGCCAATGATACCTCGGACAAGGGTTTGATCTCCAAAATATATGATGAACTCACACACCTCCACTCCAAGAAGGCAAACAGTCCAACTTAAAAATGGCCAAAGCACTTGAACAGACACTTCTAGGAGGACATACGGAGGGTCCAGAGACATATGGAAGGATGTTCGGCATCACTAATCATGAGGGAGATGCAAATTAAAACCACAGTGAGATACTACTTCACACCAGTTAGAATGACTGTCATAACCAAATCAACAAAAACAAGTGCTGGTGAGACTGTGGAAAAAAGGGAACCCTAGTACACTGTTGTTGGTGGGAATGCAGATTGGGGCAGCCACTATGGAAAACGGTATGGAATTTCTTCAGAAAACTGAAAATGGTACTGCCTTTTGACCCAGCAATTTTACTGCCAGGGCTATACTCTTAAGAATCCAGAAACACCAATTCAAAAGAACCCGTGCACCCCAATGTTCATAGCAGCACAATTTACAATAGCCAAGTGCTGGAAGCAGCTTAAGAGCGCATTAGTAAATTAGTGGATCAAAAACTGTGGTACATTTACATGATGGAATATTATACAGTAGAAAGGTAGAAGGAGCTCCTGCCCTTTATGAGAGCATGGATAGGTCTGGAAAGCATTGTGCTAAGTGAAGTAAGCCAGGTGGTGAAATATAAGTACCATGTGATCTCACTATAAGTGGAACCTACTCAGCAAAACAAATAAGCAAGCAAAGTATAACCAGAGACATTGCAATTAAGAACAAATTGACAGTAACAAGAGGGGTAGGTGGGAGGGGATTATAAGAGGGAAAGGGAGAAGGGTTTTCAGGAACATGTATAAGGGAAACATGGACAAAGCCAAGGAAGGGTAGGATTGATGGTGAGAGGTGGTGATGGCTGGGTTGGGGGGAGTAGTCATGGGGAAATAGAGACAGATGTACTTGAATAATAAAAAAAAGAAAACAAAATAAGAAAAAAGGTTACTACAGTTAATCCTTAATGAATTTGAGGGTTGTTAGCACTGATCATCTGCATAGTTGAAAAATCTAAGGATAGCTTTTGACTCCCCCAAAACTTAACTACTCATAGCCAACTATAGACCAGAACCTTACTCATTACAGTATTTTAACACGTATTTTGTATGTCATTTGTATTATGTACTATATTCCTACAATAGTAAGCTAGAGAGAAAAAAGTTAAGAAAATCACAAGGGAGAGAAAATATATTTACAGTACTTTATGTGTTTATTGAAAAAAAAATATGGATAAGTAGACATGCCCAAATTTAAACTTGTATTGTTGAAGGGTCAACTGTAGTTCCCCAAAACTGAGACAGGGAGACTTGGGAGGTATTGGAAGGAAAGAGGGAGGTGACTGTTAGTGGGGTGTCCTTTGCGGGCAGTGACTATTTTTAAAAATCAACTGTGGTGTGGTTGCACAGGCACCATTGAGTTGTACAGTTCAAACGAGTGAACTGTTTGGTATGTGAATTATATTCCAGTAACACATTGTGAGTTTTTTAATTTTCATTAAAAAATGGGTTCTTTTTTTAAAGATTTATTAAATTTATCATTGGAGAGAGGGGAAGCGAGAAGAAAGAGAGAAGGGAAACATCAGTGTGTGGTTGCCTCTTGTGTGTGTTCCCTAATGGGGACCTGGACAGCAACCAGGCATGTACCCTGCCTGGGAATTAAACTGGCATCTTTTGTTTCATAGGCTGGCACTCAATCCACAGAGCCACACAAGCCAGGGAATCAAAAATGTTTTTGAATTTTATTTCAAATGGTTCTCGGGCATTATATTTTGTAATAGTGTTTTATTTTCATTTTTTGAAAAGAGTTTGAGTTGCAAAAACTGCACAGTTCAGTTTTTATTGATTTATTATACTGCTTTCTGGCTTCGTATATTCACTCATGATTATCATGTTTCTGTTAGTTTCTAGTGCCAAACTAAAAAGAAAAAAGAACTGGTTTGGAACAGCAATATATACAGAAGTAGTTGTAGATGGAGAAATTAAGAAAACAGCAAAATCCAATAGTTCTTCTAATCCAAAATGGGATGAACAGCTAACTGTGTAAGTACTTCATAAAAAGAATGAAAAATCTTCAGAAGGAAGTATGCTTCTTGTAATTTTTTAAAATTATTATTTTATAGGAAAACTTCATGGTAATGACTGCCATTTACCATTACAAATAGACCATTTAAATTAGGGGGGTCAAACTCATTTTCACCAGGGGCTGCATCAGCCTCACAGTTGCCTTCAAAGGGCTGAAATAATTTTAGGACTGTAACTACTCCTTAACTGTTAACGAGTTTAAATTACATTTGGCCCCTTGAAGGCAACCATGAGGCTGATGTGGCCCCCAGATGAGTTTGACATTTCTGATTTAAAAGTATAAAAAAATTGTCAATTAATTTCATTTCCTTGACAGAGGAGGCATAATAATCCTTGCTTTTGCTTTATAAAGTAAATTATTTCCAGGTAGCCATATTTTCTCTTCCTGTCTTATAAAAATAAATAGGACAGAAAATCAATTATTCTTAATTTTGGTATTTCTGAAATGTAGTGTTATAAATTTGTGTATTGTAATCAATGCCTTCAATTGTCTTAAAGCTTTTGAAATTTTTTCAAATGGAAATAAGTATTATGAAATCTCATATCATTGATGTATTGCTGGTGTTTTGGTTCACTAACTACAAAAATTCTTACCTAGCTATTAAAATCCTAATGACTCAAATAGTTTACATACAACATTTTTCCTCAAATAAACTGAATCATGACTTTAAAAAATAATTGAAGTAAACGAACCAATAGGAATTAGCAATTAGAATAATGGTATATTGTTCTATATTTTCATTATAATTTCACCCTTACAGAAATGTGACCCCACAGACCACATTGGAATTTCGTGTTTGGAGTCATCACACTTTGAAAGCAGATGCTTTATTAGGAAGAGCAACAATAGATCTGAAACAGGCTCTGTTAATACACAACAGAAAGTGTAAGTTTTTTGTTCTAACCTTTGTTTTTAAAATTTCTTTGAAACACTTTGAAAGTATCCTGAAATCCAAAAATAAAAGTATAGTTATGTATTTATCAGTGAAAATGTCAGTTATTGTCTGTAATTATAGTGTTCTATGAAATGGGAAATATTTACTGTAGTCTTCTCCATCTACAGATTTACAAAATGATGCTGGTCATTCATGACTTGCTCAAGAGTACAAGTACTTGTAGAGTTATGACTATAGCACAGTGTTTCTGATTCCTAGGTGCTTAATTTTGATTAGAAGTAGTAGAAAATTAATATGACTAATAGACAACGTTACAGAATTTAAAAATACACTTTTAATTGATCAAAGTCTTGTCTGCCTTTCATTCAGCCTCAGCTTAGCACTTAGGTTTTAGTTAGGAATCACTTGAATGAGCTTTAGTTCAGTTTGGAGGGTGTTGTGGGATTTATTTTTAAAACGAAGCAAACCAACAAAAACATGACAACTAGTGTTTTTATATTTATCTGTCCCCATTGTCAAATGAGAATTTACTCACTGGTCTAGGGGTACAAATACCTTAATTAAAAGGTATTGTGTTTTTGAGGTGTTACATTCAGAATATGTTCGATAGTTAATTGTTACTTGCATGAGCAGAGTCTGTGTGTACTGAGGGTTCCAGTGCAGGGGTGTTCTGCACTGTGTGTGTTCCATGCCTCTTTACAGAGAATAGGTTTTTAGGGATGAAGTTGGACAGGAATGTTCTGAAAGGGAGTAAAATAGATGGAGAACAGCACTTGGATCTAACGTGCCTGTAGAATGCCAGTGCAGTTTCTGGCAAGACACTTAAAAACATTGGTGGTATGAATGAATAACAGACAGGATAAAATCCTCAGAGGCAGGTTACAATATGGAGGAGGTAACTGGAACCAGAGGAAATACTTGTGGGGCTGTGATATTCCAGGGTAATTTTAGGATGCAGGAACATGGCATGGTCACAGTAGGGATCGTTTGTTACAGGAATTGAATATGACATTTATAAAACTGTGAATCACAGACAATGGAATTCATAAGCAGCTTGAAAGTAGAGACTGTTTTATTCATCTATGTTTTTCAGTGCTTTCCACTATCAACAGCCAAAGGTTTGAATAAGTTCAGATAAAATCTTACAGTGGAATCTGACTATATATGAAATAGAGCAACATTGGACACATAAGCACATGCATGCATATAGTCACATGCCCTTGCTCTTACACCCGCAGCAGTTCCTGAATTAACTTATATGGAACCCTGTTTCTCAAACTGGGGGAGGGAGGACTCTCCCTGCAGAGATAAGAATAAGTCTACAAAGATATGATCTGCTTGGGGAGGAAAAGTGGCCGATCTCTCAAAGAAGGGCCTAGAGCCTTTTCCGCAGTGGGCTTTTATTGGGTTCATTTTGCACAGGAATACAGGTAAAGCTCATTAATCATTGTCTGGCAGTAAGGATCAAACAACAGATAGCATACAGAGAACTAGGAGGGCTTATTCTGAGTCAGGGTCTGTTAGCTAAGGGGCTACAAAACTTTGGGGAACAAACTCATTTCCTGCTTGGATCCTCATCATTTAATAGAGAGCATTCTAAACAAAGCAGGCTTCACAGGATTTCACATATTCTTTCTTGGGGAACCTGCCCTTTCCAGTACAGGGCGCCACCTACCACCAGCACTGTTTCAGGCTGAAGGCATTGTTTCAGATTTAGGCAGGCAGGGGAAGTACGGCAGCCAAGAGATTAGACTTTTTGCAGACACAATGAGGACTCTGGCTATGTCAAAACCGTGGGGCGAGGGTCCATCACCCTCTTTTGCTGTAGCCCCCCAAGTCCTTCCCTGGGTCCTCCCTGTGATCATGCCTGTCTTAGGTTGTTCCCCCCTTGAGGCAGATTTTAATCAGTACTCAACTATTGCAGTAAGGAGGAGGGTTCCACTTTGTACAGAACCTACTGGACATTTCAAAGGGAGAACAAGGGAGGAGAGAGGGGCAGGTGGAATTGGGATGACTCAGAAAAGTGAAACCGCAGAAAGGGTTGATTGGTATAAATGCAGTTCAGTCACATAGTTAGAATTTTGTCCTCCCACAGGGATAGGGAGACAGAGGCCCTGGCCTTCCTGATGACAACATGTCAAAGCAGTAGCTGCTGAGTCCTTGAGAAAAACATTTGAATTGTAGGAGGTACAAATTCATCTTAGGACAGAGGAGGAATTCACCCTCGCCATAAAGCCCTTTGCAGTAAAGCTCTAATAAAGGATATTTGGGCCTATCATGGGTGTGGGCTGGAACAAGCAGACACTTCTTTGGCAGTCCTGAGCTTTCTGCAGTAGGCGGTTTGAATGGGGGCTAGGGTCATCATGAGGATTAACAGCCTAGAGCTGGTAGAAACTCTGCTAGTATTTATTCACATCTCTTAATTATTTGTGCTGAGAATTTGTAGTTTTTGTGCACCAAGTGGAGGCCTGTTTAAGAAGAGGGCTCAGAGGAGCTTGTCTTGAGCTAGGGCAAGGAGAGAATCTTTGTTACTCTGTTCATAGAGGAAAGGTGTAAGAGCAGTAAGTCCCTACTGCTCTAAGTCCCTATGCTGGCATGTATACAGAGCTGCAGTTTGTATTTCAGTTTTGAGACTGCTGGGGCGCCACTTCAAACACTCTGGAGAGGAGTGGGATGGCTGCAGTTCAGACACTGGGTTATAGTGAAATTTTTTATGGTGGCAGAAGAACCAACTTACTTTGTATCAGGGAAAGCATGTTGAAATTCATTAAGCTCACTTAAACTTGAACTTTTTCTCTTACATTGATTGAGGTAGCGAAACATCAGAGAAATGTGTCCTTTATATTGGAGGACAGAGCATAGTCAAATTTAATTTTATTTAAAAATTTGTTTTAACCTTATTTACTTAGCTGATACTAGTTATGTTTGTTTAGTTTACCAAGTCTAAAGTTATCTTTTTAAAAAATTTACTTATAATCAGCACAGAGTTATTTAAGGCATTTTAAAGCTGAGGTTTTTTTTTTTATATTCAGTGATATAAGTGCACTTCTCTTATTTAGAAAGATTTTTATGATTGAAATTATTAGGTCAAAGGGAATGGGCAGTTATAAGCCTCTGGCTGTACTGTACTTCCTGAACGGTTGTTCTAATCTGTACACGTGGCATATGAGAGTGCCCACACTAATATTTGCCACACGAGCAGATAAACATTATGAAGATTTTTTATCAAAGCATTTCCTAATATTAATAAAGTCAGATGGTTTTTTATTTTTCTTTCATCCATGATTGTCTTATTCTTTGCACTTTTTTCTTTTGGTTTGTTCATTTTTTCTTACTATAAAAGCTCTTCTCACCTCTCAGTTAATCATTTGCCTCTTGATTTTTTATCCTTTTTTTGATTTATAGAAGTTTAATATTTTTGTCATAAAAGTTCATTTATCTTTCATTTTTTTTTTATGTTCAGAAAATCCTTTCCAGTTCTATTTTAGATAGTTCTCTATTTTATTCTTACATATTTATTGCTTTGTTTCTATTCTGGGGTTTTTTATAAATTCTGAAATTTGTCTTTATATCTGATAGGCATGGGAACCTAATTTTGTCTGTGAGTTGGTGCATACTAACCCATAGTGTGATATGCTGGGATGATCTAGAGTGAGAAAGTCTGCTTTATTCTTCGGACTGTCTGTGATGTACAGGATCTGTGGCCTACTGCTTCACTTGTTTTGTTTCTGAATCTGTTACCATTATATTTATGTGTGTGTTGGCCAGCCTCCAAAGTGACCCCGACCCAGCACTCCTGCTTCTGGTCACTCCTTCGTGTGGTCTGTGTAACAGTAGGATATGGCAGAGCGATGGCACAGCGCTTCAGGGCATGGTCCTGGAAGACAGTTCAGCTTCTTCCTGGGTCTCCTGGATTCCTCACTCAGTGGGAAACATTGTAAAGATGCTATGGAGAGGCCAGATGGGGAGAACTGTGGTGCCTCTCAGCTGCATCAGCACCAACTTGCCAGCTCTGTGTATAGATTACTAGCTTCTCCAGAGTTCCTGGAGAAAAGAAATTATTATCAATAATAATGTGTGGTAATTGTCATTTTAAGTGACTAAATTGCAGGATAATTTGTTACACAGCAATAGGTAATACAGTATGCAAGTTGTTTTTAAAAATAGGTTCAAAATGTGACTCTGAGCTAAATTATTTTAAATGGGTGATATCCCTTTAAAACAAAGGCTTTTGAAGACTTTTTGTTTTCTGTGGGGAGAGAAAGCATGTATGTTATTGACAGATTCTTGATTATAGGCTAAATTGTCTAGTTTTATGCTTGGCTCCTCAGACTCTGACTATTCTATCCTATTAAAACTGAGGGAGAATTTTTAGCAGGTAGGAAGAGGTAGTAGTGTCTACCTTAGAGTTCCCAGAAGACAGCACTATCTTTATAATTTGTTTTCAGTGTATATTAAGCACCTCTGTACTATCAGAGATGGACAGAGTCTCTGTGCTGTATTGGAGGCTGCAGTGGGGGGAGGTAGGACCTGCGCCCCCCTCCTGCCCCCACCTGGCACCACCCCAATTCTGGTGTTCAGTCCATAGGAAGAAATGAGTGGGGAATGTTGGGAGCCTATGTTAGGCAGATTCATACTGCTTCCCCAAGTATAGCTCCTGAGCCTAAGGCACTTGCCTGTCTAGTGGATGAAGTCTGAGTTGGCTTGTTTCTACTGTAATAGAATTCCACCTACACACATACATGTGTAGATGGGAGTTATTTATGTGGTAGTCCCCCCATTTTATGATTCAAAATGCTAGACCCCAGTGTTCCATGTTCAGAATTGTGAGATACTGAAGGATGTCAACACCCCTTCCCCGGGCTGCAGAGCAGTCAGGTTCTGGACAGAGCAAGTTTTTGTAGCACTGATGATTTTTGCAGAGGCTGGGGTAGTGTTCAAAACCCTCCTATCCTCCCAATTGCTCCCCCCCCCCAAAAAAAAAAAGAAA